CAGCACAGAACAGCCTAACATGGCACATCTCTGGCACACAAGGCAGTGTTTCTTATTTATCCCACGTGAGTCCTCATCCTCTTCACAGCAGCACACAGGGACCCAGCGTGGCACGTCTCCCACAAATCCACATTCATCATATTATTTTTTCTCGCCCATTTCTACAAAGCTTATGTCACATGGACGAGTCAGAAGAACCTTGAAGCCTATATTATTCATTCATTCACTCACTCATTCATTCATTCACTAAATATCAGTCTCTATGCCAAGTGACACAGATACAATAGTGAGCAAGCAAACACTGCCCCTTTTCTCATAGAGTGAGAACAATGAAAGAGACAAATGAACTCATATGTAATTATAAAAAATGTGATAAGAACAGGGCAAAACAAGGAGTGTCATGACAGAGTGGAACAGATGGAGTGGTTAAGAAAAGCCTTCCTGAGGAAACCAAGGCCTGAGGGGTAATGTAATGGACAGTCAGCGATTTTGTCACCCTTGATTCACTTTCTCTTGCTGGAACAATGCCCTGATGATTAGGAGTCTCACTCTTCATAGCCTGGGCCAAGGCTTGGAATCTTGGGTGGATGATGCAAGAACAGGGAAAACTGGAGTGGGCAGAGTGCTGAGGGAGGGGCAGAGCAGACCCCATGCCTCTGGAGGGGCAAGTTGTACCAAACCTCCAGGGACCACATTGAGTTTGGATTTGTCTTCAATGCAAAGGAAGGTTGTAAAGATATGTAATTCAGCACAAGGAGGACATTTTTTAATAGCAACACATGTCATAAAGGAAAAGCAGAAAATTCCAATGAACATTGTGAAGAACTTTGACTTGGTCATTCCATCCCAGTTCTGCTCTAGGCTCCAGGACCCTAGGAATTTGTTAGGCTCTTCTGATGTCTCCTAGTCCCAGTTTCCTCATCTATAAAATGAGGCGTTGGATTATCTAATCTCTAACTCCCCTTCCTTATCTGATGTTTCATATCTACGGAGAAACATTGTCCAGCTGGACAAGATGTCCACCATGAGGAAGTTCATGAAAAAAAATGGGAGAGAGTAACACAACCAACCTCTACTATGCTTGTTGTGCTTTATAATATTTAATTCACTGACATGCTGATTTTGCCCACTTGTTGTCATGTTGGCTGCCAAAGGATTTGAAACAGTTGTGGGCTCTGCAACCAATTCAAAGATGTCTTTTGAAAGAAGGCATTCTGTAAATTGGGATACTCTGCTCAGCTGAGGCATGGTGACTTTAATTGAATGCTGCTTCTTTTTAAAAAATACATATATTGCCGAAACTGGTTTGGCTCAGTGGTAGAGCATCGGTCTGTGGACTGAAGGGTCCCAGGTTTGATTCCGGTCAAGGGCATGTACCTTGGTTGCGGGCACATCCCTGGTAGGGGATGTGCAGGAGGCAGCTGGTTGATGTTTCTCTCTCATCGACATTTCTAGCTCTCTATCTCTTTCCCTTCCTCTCTGTAAAAAAAATCAATAAAATATATTTAAAAAAATATATTTTATTTATTTATTTATTTATTTATTTATTTTTTACAGAGAGGAAGGGAGAGGGTTAGAGAGTTAGAAACATTGATGGGAAAGAAACATCAATCAACTGCCTCTTGCACACCTCTTATTGGGTATTGGCCTAAGCCAAGGTATATGCCCTTGACTGGAATCAAATCTGGGACCTTTCAGTCTGCAGGTCGATGCTCTATCCACTGAGCCAAACCAGTTAGGGCTAATCGAATGCTTCTTGACAGGAAACAGTAAGGAATGTATTGACTCTTGGATGAATTTCACCAAAACCTTGCAACTGCCACAAGGCCTTTGTATGATGTACCAGTTATCTGTTGCTGTATACCAAACCACCCAACCCTTATGGCTTGATTATAATAGCCATTGTATAATTTTCACAATTTTTGGGTTGGTTGGGTCTTTTTTTGGCTGATCCTGCCTGGGCTTCCTCCGCTGGGGGCTGGCTGGGGGCTGCCGTAGCTGGGATGGCAAGCCTCTCTCTGCCTGGTTCTTTCATCTTCAAGGAGGTTGGACCAAGTTTCCTTACTGTCTCCCCAGCGTTCCAAGACTAGCGTGCCGGCACCATCAACTGTCCTGCTTTTGCCGTATTTGCTGATGTCCCAGTGGCTAAAGCATGTCACATGGTCAAACCCAGGGTCATCACTATGGGAGGGGCGACACTAAAGGCATGCATACTGAGATATGATTCACTTGAGGCCATTAGTGTGACTGCGTTTGAACGTTCCCTCTTAGACATGGATTGCAAGATATGCAACTTTAACTTACAAACGGTAGTGCCTTCACAAAGACACAATACACATGTTACAACCAGTATAAGGGAGCTTTTGAAGTCATCTTATTAAGGGGACCGAATCCTACATCCAATGGCCCTGCTTGCCTCATAAAATTATTCATTAATTTTTAGCAGTGGCCTTGGGAACTTATGTACATACTATTTAGAGGAAAATGGCATTTACAATTATAATGAACAAAAACAATTCACACTACAGTACTGCCCCAATTTGCTAGTTTCCCATTTAGCATCCTCCCCCCACCCCCACCCCCACTCCCCATCCCCAGTCTCTCTGCCCCAGTGTGTGCACGCCGCCTGTCTCTTCCACTGGACAGCCAACTCCTTTGAGGGTGGAAGGCTTTCCTCACCCAGGTTTGTTCCCTTCACGGTCACAGCACCCACAACACTCAGGAGATGTGCCCTAACTGTTTGTAAACGAATCAATAGCTGCCTTTTCTTAAACACATATTATGCTCCAGGGACTTCACTCACAGACTGGGTCATCAATTCTCTCTCAATGCCACAGGTAAACGTTATGCACCGGCGTGGAACCGAGGGGCCTGAGATGCCAGAAGCCCAAGGAGGCAACCAATATGCGTCTCTCTCACATCAATGTTTCTCCCCCCACCTCTCTCTCTCTCTCTTTCTTTCTCTCACTCCTCCCTCTTCCTTTCTCTCCCTCCCTTCTTCTCTCCCTTCCAATCTCTATTAAAAAAAAAAAATCAATGGAAAATGGGAGGATTAACAAGCAAATAAAATCTACTTCTTAGGGCTGTTGGGAGGATTGAGAACACACATTGTATGTAAAGTGGTTACACACACACACACACACACACACATGCATACCATATAGTAACTAAATGGTAGCTCCTGTTAGCATATTACTGACCAAGTCCCCCCTGACGCCACTTCACCGCTGCTTTTTCCCTGTGGCGCAGGAAGGAGGCCCTCAGAAGTGAACAGGTGGCCTCAAGGTGTGGAGAGAAAGGCAAGAAGGAAACGGTAAGAGGCAGTAGCCTACAGGGGCCCCAACCCCTTCCCTGCCTTTGCCATAAAATAAGCACCTGTTCATTGAGAGATTGGCCACCTGCAGCAGAGCCAGTTCTACAGCTCTCAGGAAAACCAAAACCAAACCCTTTTCCTTCTGGGGGTGGAGAGAGGAGGAACTGAGAGGGCCTGCTGGGGGCTGGCCCTCTTGGTCAGGTGACAAAACCACACAAACCCAGAGCATTTTAGTTGTCTTCAGGTGAAAAGGTAGGTGGCCGTTCTTTTACACATTTGCCTATAGTTCTTATTGTGTGCTAGATCAGTACAGTGTATATGCTAACAGGAGCTACCATTTAGTTACTATATGGTGTGTGTGTGTGTGTGTGTGTGTGTGTGTAAAGCACATAACATACAATGTATGATCTCAATCCTCCCAATAACCCTAAGAAGTAGATTTTATTTGCTTGTTAATCCTCTCATTTTCCTTTTTTTTAATTTTTATTTTTTAAAGAAAGATTGGAAGGGAGTGAGAGAAAAGGAGAGGGGGGAGAGAGAGAGAGAGAGAGAGAGAGAGAGAGAGAGAGAGAGAGAGAGAGAGAGCGCTATGGGGGGAGAAACATTGATGTGAGAGAGACACATCATTGGTTGCCTCCTGCAACCAAGGTATTATTCTCCCTTGACTGGAACCCAACCCGAGAGGGGAGGGGAGGGGAGGAGGGGGTACCCTCCCATTGAGAACACCAGCCAGGGCTTAAGTAGGTTTTGTTAGTCTTCCTTTACAGATGAGGTACGGTGCCCAGCAGATTTTCAGCTTTGAAGTAGTAGATCTAAAACCCATCTTTTTGACTGAAAGCCCTGGATACCATTTAGCTGTGTGCCTCTTGAGGCTTTGCTGCTGGTCTGAGGTGGGGCATTGTGAATCTCATTCATTCATGCAAAGCTGAGCACGTGTGTGTGTGTGTGTGTGTGTGTGTGTGTGTGTGTGTGTGTGTGTGTAATGTACAAAAAAGCAAATCCAGGTCAGGCTAGCTTGAGGTTGAAGAGCCTACTTGTGTGGAGAGAGGCAAAAACCTCACTCATCGATCCACTCTGTTGCTCCCTCCGTAAGTATTGATGGCGCACCTCGGTATTCCAGGCAGGGCGCTGCGTTGGCCCCGGGAAAGAGAAGGGTGAGCGCGAGAGGCCAACGTGCTCCCGGCTTTACTGTTCCGTGGGCGGGCGAGGCATCCAGAGGAGCAGGAACTGCACCGATCGGCCCGGGGATGACTCCTGCCCCGGCAGCGCGGGAGCAGGGGCAGGAGACGCTGAGCAGCGCGGCGGTCGGGGCGGGCTCCCCGGAGGAGGTGGCGAGCCCGGGGCCGGGCGCGGGGACCCTCTCCAGGGAAGGGAGAGCCGGAGCCGGGGCCGGGCCGGGCGCCGGGCTGGCCCGGGAAGGGAAGACCAGGGCGGCGGGGCGGGGGCGGGGGCGGAGGCCCCGGGAGGGCGGCGGAGTTAGGGTTAGGGCGAGCAGATGCGGCTTCCCGGCGGCAGAGGGCGCCTGGCGCTGCGGCCCGGCGCTCCGGAGGCTGGAGCGCGGGCGCGGGGCGGAGAGGCGAGGCGAGGCGGCGGCGGCCACTGCCACGTCTTCCCGGCGGCGGCGGCGGCGCGGGAGGAGGTGAGCGGAGCCCGGGCGGCGGGGCGGGCGCAGGGAGCCGGCGCCGGGCGGGAGCGCGGGCGCCAGGACAGCGCGGGTCCCGCCCGCAGCGCCGGCCCCGCCGCCCGGCTGGCCGCGGAGGCCCGAGAGCCGAGCGGGTCCCGAGCGCAACTCGTGCGCGCCGGGCGCCGGGCGGGCCGGGGCCGGGGGGACGCGCGCCCTCCCGGCGGCGGCTCCGGCTCCGGGCGCGGGGTCCCTGCCGCCGCTGCGGGGCCCGGGCCGCGGCCGGAAAAAAGTTGGGGCTCTCGGCGAGCCCGCGTGGGCCGGGCGGGAAGTGCGGGTGCGGCGGACTGGGGTGTCGGGAGGACGCGGTGGGAGGTGGGGGGTGGGGAAGGGGGTCCCGGGCCGGAGGCGGGGCGGCTGGGTGCACGGGGTTTGGGGAGGCGGGGACGCGGGTGCTGGAGGCGGGGAGGAGCGGTGGCGTGCGCCCCGAGTCTCCGGGAGAGTGGAGGGGTGGGTGGCGGGGGCCCTGCGGGGAGACAGGGGGAGGCGCCGCGGGTGCGGGCCCTGGTGGTCGGCGAAGCAGCCGGCCGCGGGGCAGAGCGCAGGGGAGAGGGGAGTGCCTCCTCCTTGCCTGTTTGGGGACTGACCGGGAGAGAGGGTCTGGCTGAGAGTTGGGGACTCCTCCGGCGTCTGACGCCCCGATGGGGAGTTCCTATAAGAGGTGGGGGAGGGAGCTGAGCGTTGCTTCCTCCACCGCTTGGGTTGAGGGCCGCCCCTCCCCACTTGCCACATGCAGGGCTCTTGTCCTGGGGAAGTTGAGGAGGGACCCCTGAGTGGTTTAGGGGTTCCGAGGTGAGTAGGAGTGGGCTCCATGAAATCCTAACTGGAGCCGGAAGCTGGCTAACTCTCCCCCTCCTCCTTTCCCCCCACACAGCCCCCTCACTCCCTCTCCAGTACCGCCAAGGTCTGATTCCCTGGTTTGGGCCAGCCAGGCCCCCAAACCGAGCAGCACATCTGCTCACAGGGTGCCGAGTATCCCGAAGCGGGTATAAAACATGGCCTTTTACTCCTTTGCTGAGGTTGGTTATTTTAGAAATAAGTGGCTCTGGAGATGCTGGTTGCTTCATTAGAACACAATGTGGTGGCCCTCGACAGTGGAGATGACTCATGCCGGCTTCATTTTTTTCTTTCCCCAGAAAAAATTAAAGACACAAGTGTGCCAGGTCATTAGCAACAGTGATAGAGCTGGAGACCCACACCGAGGGGCTTTGGAGCTCTAGTCTAGTCCTCCATATAGGAGCAGGTATGTGACCTTGAATGAGTCACTAGCCCTCTCTGGACCTCAGTTTTCTTATCTATGAAATGGGGTATAAAGAAAGGTACAATCTGATAGTGGCAGGAGTAGGCTTCTAAGGAAACAGATCTTTGTCCTTGTGAGACTAGGTTAGTCACACAATCAATTTCAACCTATTCCTTTAAAGAGATTAGGATGGACTTAAAACAGATGAGAAGCAATAGTGCAAAAAAGCAAGACAAAACCAAAAACTAGTAACAATTGCTACTAGACTTAAGAGCGTGAATACCGTTCTCTTGCAGGCTGTCTTTACTGTAACGCTGTTTGTTGGAAAATAAATAATGTGCATTTCACTTGTGGATTTGAATTTTTGTGTTTGTGTGTTTGGGCCTTCCAGCCTGGAGGGGATGCACAGCTGGACTCGGCTGGTGCAGCCTTGCTTGAAGAACACCCCTAGGATATCTCATTGCCGTAGTACTGTACATTTCCTTCTGTCTGTCTGATGCTGGGATCCCAGGCCCTCGGCTTCTGTCATCTTTTTCTTTCTGGCTTAAAAAGTGGTGAGCTGATTCCTGTTGCACATAACCTTTCTGAATTTCTCGGGGTTCTTCTAGTGAGTGTAATTAATGGGCAAACAGTGCACTACATGCAGGACGTTAAAAATAGCTCCAGGTAATAACTGCCCACCTCATCCCTATTTTCAGACCTTCTGGGCAGCCTCTCACTAGAACTTCCGGGTCACCTGCTGGCCATCCAGATTTGGATACTCAGGGTCATCACAGAGTTGAAATGACATGGCCCAGGCAAACAGCACATTCATGATCAAGCCATGTTGCTGGAAGAAGAGGAGGAACTTTTGTATTTTATGACTGAATGCTCTTGTCCTTCTGTTTTCTTCCATTAGTAGCTTTCAGAATCCTTTTTGGATTTGGCCACATCACTTTCGGTCATTGTTTTTCGCCAGTGTCTTGGAAGCTGCAGTTAATGGTTATCTCAGAATTTGAGGGCATGGTAAAATTATATTCAATCCAACAAGTAAAGGTTTGATTAATTAGGGTGAATCTTTAAAATATCTGTTATACACACACAAGTACGTGTGTGTGTTTAAAATTTGCTTTAACGAAGGGCTGTTAAATTAATAAATGTCATGATGCTAATAATAGTTACCATTTGAGCCCCTACCATTTACCAGACAGTGTGTGAGAAAAAAAAAAAGTTCAAAGGGCATAGCTCTTACAGCTGGCTCACACAAGTTACTGTTGATCTTTGAAACTAAACAGCCTTTTATAATAGCGAACTAGGAATTCTTAGCTATCCTACAGGGTTGTGATATTCTACGAGGCAGTGTATATGGGGAACAACATGGAAACTGTGAAGTGCCCGCCAACCCAGGACCGTATTAACATAATAAGCATGTGTGGACACTGGAGGCTTATGAGTCCAAGGGTCTTGGAGTCTGGTGGGCCTGGGTACACATCCTGATCCCATCGCCTGCCCCCTCCGAGCCTGGTGTCTGCGTGTGTAAAGTCAGGGGATCGCCTGCCTTACCGTAAATGAGGTGCACCTGTGAGTGGCAGTGGGCGCTCAGTAAAGGGTGGCGCGCTCTCTGCCCACAGGCACTCGGGATAATGGCCTTGATTAAGTCTTCCAGGTGGAATTGTCCTCCAGGGAGAAAGGCTTTTAAAGTACACTTTTGTGCTTATGAATAATCCTTCCCACCTTCACCTTCCAATCCACCCCCCACCCCCCACCCCCCCACACACAGCGTGACTGGCAGGCCCTGCCAGCATCTAAAAAGGAGAGCACTGACCCACATCAGAAGCCACCCCTCCGTCATCGTTTCATTCTGGCTTAGGGCCTTTGAAGGTGAAGATGGATGTGGCTAGTTTCCCTTTGCCCATTTTGTGCCCTTCTCTCCTTTTTTTAAATTTGTTTTATGGGCAGGGAAAAGATACTGAATGTGGGGGGTTTCTAGCTGGAGGGGAGATATTGGGAGAGCTATAGGGGCGGGTGGGGTTAAGGATGGGGGTAGGGCAGGGCAGATAAGGGCTGGGAAGGAGATGGCAGAGTTGAACCTGACACAAGAGCTGGAAAGCTTGGCGTGGGAGAGATCTGATAGATGTAAGGTTTGGCTCAGTAAATGGGGCCACGTCACTTAGCACGGTAAGTCTCTCTTGTGGGGCCTTGGAGTTCTCATGCTACAGGCAGACTGTGACTTGTGGTGGCATCCTGAATGACTTTCCACAGCAAGTAGGATGCTGAAAAGGAAATTAAGATCCAAGAGGATGCTTGTGACTGGTGCCAGAATATCTCTGAGCCTTTATTAAGATTCAGTCAGTCCTTAAGAATACTTCTTAGTCCTCCGAAGATATTAATTAAGAAATAGATTTAAAAAAAAAATAGAAATGTGTTCTTTGTGAGCTGTTTGGGGGAAAAAAATGTAATCTTCCTAAATCTTTGGAACAAAGGGAGTCCAAACAAAACATCATAGGGTTGTATGTTTTAAAAGCATTTCCTCCCAAAGTGACACTCTCCGCCTCCCCCTCCTTCCCATTCTCCTCGTGCATTGTTTTGATAATGGGTTAATTTTGGCTTCTTTCGCATTTTGAAGGCCTAATTTTATTGTTTATGAAGGACCCTAATTTTTAGATCTCAATGTGCCTTCTTTTCTCTTGAGTAATTCACATTCATTCACTGTGAAGCAGCCATGCAGGTGGTGAGGAGCACAGAGCCAGAGCCAGGTCGGGGGTAGGCAGTGTGGAGCCCTCGGAGAGCTGGGCTCTCTACAACTTGGGTTTAATCCCCACAGCAGCTCTGGAGGACGACGATCGTGCCATCCCCAGGGCACAGAGGGGGGAATGGGCACAGAGACGCCAGTGTGCCCGCAGGGCCAGCAAGTGGTTCGTCCGAGTGCCAGCTAAGGTCTGTGTGACTCCAAAACCTGTGCAGGCAGTGGCCTGGCACATGCTGCCAGGGTTGCACTCTATGCTGTAGGCTGCGGGTTTCCCCTAAGGGAGAGAGGGTTTGATCTGTATTTTAGAAAGTTGGCTGGTGAGCGGTGTAGACTATGAAATGAGGAGAAATGAGTCCATGAGAGTAATTGGCATGAGAGATGACGAGGACTTGAACTTAAGACATTAAGATAGCGGGGAAAGCCGAGACCGGTTTGGCTCAGTGGATAGAGCGTCGGCCTGAAGACTGAAAGGTCCCGGGTTCCATTCGGTCAAGGGCATGTACCTTGGTTGCGGGCACATCCCCAGTAGGGGGTGTGCAAGAGCAGCTGATCGGTGACTCTCTCTCATCGATGTTTCTAACTATCTTCCTCTTTGTAAAAAATCAATAAAATAAATAATAATAATAAAAAAGACAGCAGGGATGGAGAAAGGGGGATGCGTTGGGATGGATAGCGCTTCGTGTCCCTCCCATCCCCCAGAATTGCAGATGCGAATAGTGTGGACTGAAAGCAATCTCTGCAGAAACCAAAGTCGCCTCCTCTGTTTTCCCGTATCTGGTGGAGCAGGTGCCTGAGTAAAACCTGAGTGCGCCTTCCCCACTTTTTGCTCACCCACTGGCCTTAACCATTTCTGCCTTTCAGGTTCCTCAGACCCCCGTTAGGAAATGCTGGTTTGAGCATTCAAACAAAGCGTTAGCATGGAAGGAAAAACACCCCCAAGGAAGAAAACTTCCCAGGTGTGGGTGGACCCAGCCTGTCCACTAGGGGGTGTGATCTGCAGTTTTGCCTGCTCCTCAAGCATTGACTGCCTCTAGGCAGGCCTGACCTGTAGGCACATAGCACGTGGGGCCTGGCTGGGGAAGGGAGGAGTGTCTGGAGAGTTCTCAGAGGTGACCAGCGCTTTGAGGAGGAGGTGGGACCACCCTCCCCTGAAGGGTGCAGCCTCGGTGGGGAGGCAGGCTGTACTTGGGTGAACCGGATTCAGAGCAAGGGGAGGAGATGATGAGTCCTGGTGGCTAATGCCCGTGCGTCCCCATCAGGATGTATGGTGGCCTTGTCAGTCATGTGCTGGTCTCATGCCCTCTACTCGAGTCAGTGCCAGACTTCGTTAGGAACTTGCA